GAGCTGTTGGCATCTTTTTGCACTTGGATTAGATAATAGAGGAAAGAAATGGAGAGACAACACCCATTAGATGCAGAAGCTGGACAAAGCCCTCCTTTTGCTCCGTTTGGGCAGATCAGGATAAAAACTGAGCCAAAGGACCCAGCCAAAGACTTTATCAGCTCGGAGATCCAGCGTAAAAACTTCAGGAAGGTGTCTTACCAGGAGGCTGGGGGTCCCCGAGGTCTCTTCAGCCAACTCCATTGTCTTTGCCATCAGTGGTTGAAGCCAGAAAGACATACAAAGGCAGAGATGCTGGACCTGGTGGTTCTGGAGCAGTTCCTGGCTCTTCTGCCTCCAGAGATGGAGAGCTGGGTGCGGAATGGTGGAGCAGAGACCAGCTCCGAGGCGCTGGCCATGGCTGAAGGCTTCCTCCTGAGCCAAGTGGAGGAGCCAAAGGAGCAGGTCAAGCTTCAGGTGAGAGGACTTCATCTTTAGAGCTCAAAGGGGGTCTTACATGCATCTTAATATATGTCATCTATGGAGAGCCCCATGACCCGACAATTGCGTGATAGACATATGCACGCCGACAAAATAGCGCCGATTAAAACGCGACGTCGAAATCGTGCCCACAAATTCGCGACATCAAAATCACGCCCTCAAAAGCGCGATGACAAGCACAATAAAATTGAAAAAAATTTAGGGTTAGGGTTGATGATGCAATTTGTTGATGACACGATTTTGTTGGTGCGCATTTGTCGGCGCACTTTTGTCGAAAATCAATTAGCGATTTTGATGGCGCTCATTTGTCCGTCGCGGTTTTGTTGGCACACATATGTCTATCGCGCATTTGTCCGCGAACCGGAGAGCCCTTATTTATTTATGCGGTTTTATAATTGTTTTCTGATTTCTTAATCTTTTTTCCCTTTATGTTTTCTTATTCTTCGCATCTTTCCTCTAGCTATTTGTACCATAAATTCCATACTAAGTAATAATCCGTTTCTCCTTTATCTTTTATTTCTTTTGTAAATCTGTCCATCTCGGCCCACTCTTAATATTTTTTAAAATCACATTTTCCTCTGTTGGTATATTTTTGTTCTTCCAATTTTGTCTGTACGTGATTCTTGCTGCAGTGGTTACATATAATAATAAGTATTGAATTTTTTTTCCTCATAGTTCCCTGTAATTATCCCTAGTAAAAATAATTCTGGTTTTAGCTCTATTGATTGTGTAGTTATCTCTTCCAGCCAGTTTTTTTTAATTATTCTTGTGCAAATTTTATTTTTGCTGTTTTACATGTCCACCACATATGGTAGAATGTTCCGTGGGCCTGGCTACATTTCCAAAAATCCGGTGAACAGTTTGGAAACATTTTAGCTATTCTCGCCATCTGCAGAACATTTTCAAAGGCAAAAATCCAAGAAAGTCCTTGCGGAAAAAGCATCTTTGGGACATTGATTATATGTTGATGTTCTTAACTTTTTGGCATTGTTAACACAAGGGATTTTCTTTTGAAGATGTCCAGTTGTGCCTTCTATAGAGTTTGGAACAATTGATCCTTTGACATTTTCCACCTCATAAACTAAGAGCAAAGAATAATAATTCATTTATTTGGGTGGCCTATCTTATTTCCCCCTCTGTGTTTCTTATCAGGCCCAGAGGCCTCTCTTGGGAGCCATTCCTCAACATCTGGATGGAAAGAGCAACCCCTCAAATCTTTCCCAGGAATGGCCTATTTGGAAGAACTCCCAGGAAAAGCCAAGTTTGCTCATCTCACCAGGTAAGGGAAGCTGCTCCTAAGCTGCATGAAGTTGTTTGGAACCTTCTGGGCATAGCACAGTGATGGCTAACCATTTTGCGCACGCGTCCATCCCCCCCTGCACGAATGCGCGCATGGAACCCCGTGCATGTATGTGTGAGTGACACCCGTGTGCGCATATGTGCATGTGACACCTCCATGTGTATATGCACGTGTGACCTCCCCCCACCCACCCACTTTTGACACATAATGGCCCGGTAGACCCGTTTTTCATCCCCAGTTTCCAGGGGCTTTCTGGGCCGTTCTCTCCCCCCTCCCTGCAGGCCCTCCGGAGACCAGAAACGGCCCGTTTTCTGACTTCTGGGTTGCCCATGGGGCCATTTTTCTCCTTCCGGCCTCTGGAGGCTTCCCTGAAGCCTCTGGAGGGAGAGAATTGGCCCAATGCGCAAACCGGAAGTCCATTCCTGAACTTCCGCTTTGCGCATTGGGATGTTTTTCACCCTCCGCTGGGCAAAAAACAGCGGAAAATGAAGGCCAAAATCATTTCACTGG